TAACAAGATGCTTCCTGTCAGCCGACAGACGAGCAAAGTCATGCTCAACACTTCGAAAGGCCTCCGTGCGATGTAAACGTTGAATCCAGCGCCAAATGAGCGTCCATCCACAAAGACCGGGGACTGACGTATCCTCCTGTGCATTGACTAGGAGTCTATGAGGTGCAATATGGAGCAAATGGCTGGCAAAAAAGGTAAGCCTTTCGCGAAACGCTGGTGGTGACTGAACAAGAAGAACTTGCGGTGGGTTAACATCTCTAAAAATCTCCAGAGCCACCCAATGGCAACCTATGAGGACAGGGACAATCGTTGTTCCTCGGTTGGGGATGTGCATTCTACCCGTCTCAAAAGCAAAATCATTCTGGTTTGGATTGTAGAAGGCAATAGGCGTGAAATGTGTGTGCTCATGTCCTCTGGCAATACGAGCAAGAACGAAAGAGAGTTCATCTGACGCAAGCCAGCCTTCTGTTGTTCTTGCAAAATCAAGCCTATCCCCAATGGTTGGTCTTGGTCTTAGTACCACCATTCTTGTGGATCTCCATGAGATGGTGCCGCCACAGCAAACTGGACAAGAATTTTCTTCAAGTATCTGACTTCGAATATGAATATCATCTGTGGAGATCATGCTCCATATACCATCGTCAGTTTGCACTTTGTCGGGATGTTCTGCCTGTAAGATCAATCTGCGGGGAGCTCTGGCTGATGCATGACGAAGAATATAACGGTTGTACGCGGGTACAGCCCCACTGAATGTGGTGTGATGTTGTGGTTTTGGCATCATAAGCAGCTTCTCCGGCAACTTTGGGTTGACCTCGTTCACGATTCGAAGGGGAGCTCTCTTCATGAATGAGATGTCGATGAAAGGCTGTAGCGTCCCCTGCACCAAGATAGGTCGTGACACTTTAACAACATCTCCCAGCAGGAGCGGAGACAGCACCAAGCTCGACTGGTCGTCGCGTGTATGACGAGAACTGTCGTGGTTGTAACTGGGTACAGCCCCACTGTATGTAGTTGGATGTTGTAGTCCTTGAGCTAATCCGGATGGCCGAGGCTCCATCAAGGCAAAGCGGTCGCCGATGAAGGCAACAGAATCTTCTGCCAAAATGCGGTCACAGATCAACTTTTGTACATTCTGTGCAAAACATTGCAGATTAACTCGAAAGTCCGATGACGACATCAATGTCCATGAACAACTTGGATCATCTTCTGCCTCCTGAAAAGGATCACGGTTGCAAATGGGTACAGCCCCACTAAATGTGGTTTGAAGTCGTAGTGCTTGGAATGAGCAAATCCACGGAAACTTCATCATGATGTCCTCCTGATTGGCTTGCGTGAACACATCGGCAGTCCATGAAATGTCAAAGATCAAACTCACTGCGTCTTGGACAAGATCTCGACACAAATTATCTGCAATGGATTCGTGTGGAAACTGGAGTGTCCTGCCGCCAAATCGATCAGCCCATGGATGAAGAAAACACTCATGGTCGTCATTGGGTACAGCCCCACTCAATGTGGTTCGGTGTTGTGGTACTGGCTTCCAAAAAGACACCAAGCTCGACCAGTCGTCGCGTGTATAGCGAGGACTATCGTGGTTGTAACTGGGTACAGCCCCACTGGATATAGTCGGATGTCGTAGTCCATGAACTAATCCGGATTTCCAATGTTTCGTCAAGGCAAAGCGATCGCCAATGCCGGCAAAAGAATCTTCTGTCAAAATGTGATCACGGATTAACTTTTGTGCATACTGTGCGAAACATTGCGGGTTAACTCGAAGATCTGATGAAGACATCAATGTCCATGAACATCTTGGGTCATCCTCTGCAACATGAGAAGGATCACGATTGCAAATGGGTACAGCCCCGCTAAATGTGGTCTGAAGTCGTAGTGCTTGGAAAGAGTAAGTCCACGGAAACTGCATCATGATGCTCTCCTGATTGGCTTTCGATGACACATCGGTGGTCCTTGAAATGTCAAAGATCAAAATCACTGCACCTTGGACAAGATCTCGACACAGCTTTTCTGCATTGGATTCGTGTGGAGACTGGAATGTCTTGCCGCCAAATCGATCAGCCCATGGATGGAGAAAACACTCATGGTTGCCACTGGGTACAGCCCCACTCAATGTGGTTCGATGTTGTGGTACTGGCTTCCAAAAGGATCTCAAAGATCTCATCTTAGACATTTCACTGAGGATTTTTGAGTTTGAATATGGCCTGCATAGCTCATTTGTGATGGCAAAAGAGGAGAAACTCCGGGCCACTTGTTCTGTGATGTTACCGGTTGCCATGGTCCAGGGTAACATCGAAGATCGAGAATCGGGATTCAACTGTAGGTCACCGGAATCTGCTTGGTATTGTCGACTGTATTGAGGAACACAGCGAACTGCAAGTTGGGAATGATCTTGATTGGAAGTACATGTCAAGCAGGGAGGAATGAGGTCATCTCGTACAGCTTTCAAATGGTCTGTACAACCTGCTAGACTGTCAACGAACCAAGACTCTGCTGAGGCGTTGAAAAACGCCATCGGAGATGGATATGAAATGGACAAAACCTGAGAGTTCAGCTCATATTGATTATGCGTGCATGCATGAAAACATGGATGAATTCGAACAACCTTTGGCCCAGTTGGGAATCCAACTGCCTGAGTTTCAGCAAAGGTTGCGGGCATAGCTTGTGTGTCATGTCCCTGCAAATCTAAGACACTTGGGCTTGGGCTAGTCTTCTTGGAATGGACCAAGTCATATAGGGCGCTATCCCTACACGAAGGACTCTGGTGGGCGTGCGGACTTGACGAAATTCTATGACGATCAGGTCTATGACCCATCTGCTGATATCTGTCACTAAGAATGCAAGCGCCTACTTTCCAGTCAACTGGAGAGATGCGTCTGGATTGCGATATGAATGGTGCGTCAGCCTCAAGGAAACGAAATGCTGTCTTCCAAAGACGAAAACCCGCCATACATAGTTCACCAGAACCCTTCGGTTTTTTCTCACCTGTCACTCCCTTGAGTGGAAATCCTGGAGTTTTGGAATACCAACACCCTGGATCCCACATGGACTGCATGAATGTGTAACAGGCCTCAATGCATGGAGTCAAACAGGATGAAAATGGATGATCGTACACCTTCTGCCCCCGGTGAGTTAGCTGCCGATGTACACAAGGCGGAGATGGGGTACGAACTTCTTGTGGAACAAGGTGTGCATGCCATGGTTCAAAGTCGAAGTTCTCAGCATGAGGGTCCTGCCTATTGTTTGTATTCGACGTATTACACACACCAACAGCCCATGGTTCTGCTTGCAAGGACTCCTGGTCAGTTACTCCAACCTTCTCTACACATAGTACCTTCTTGCAAAATCGGTCTAGCTCATGATCAAAGCGTCGAAATCTGAGCTCCTGTGTAGGTACATTTTGCCTGGTTGGCTGCGGTGTGTAGAGCCTCCTGGACAAAAGAGTGGGATGTCGTTGCAGATCAAAACTTTCATCTTGCCCTGTGACCCCTGACGTGAAGGGGGTGGTATCGTCTTTGCATCTGTCAGCACTACCAAGATGAATGTACATCCATGGCTCAATGGAACTGCCCGTATCCTCCGTGAGCCCATATCCACTGACTGAGTCATGCTGTTCATAAGCAATCGCCCATGGCTCGAAAGCCTCTGGCAGTGGGGTGTAAGAAGGGTCACAAGACCTTGACGATGGAAATGGCTCTCCATACATCAGAAAAGGATCACCTTCGTGTTCCAACTCGTCATAGCGCTTGAATCCAGATTGCTGGCAACCTCCCTTTTGCCAGGTAAAGAAAGTTGTCACACGTCCCGATTGTAAGTACCGCAGAATATCTTTGGAGATCTTCACCAATACATGCCGGCCATCAGGTTGTGCAGCTTCCACCAGGACAAAAGATCGCTGCCACAGGACAGTCCGCACAGGAGTAAGAGTGCGCTTCCAAAGGTTCTTCCAGGTTGATGTGCAAATCACCGCCTTTGTAGCCACTAGGCTTGCCATGGCTCGATCCGTGCCCCTCCCCTCCCAGGGGAGAGACCGCGAGCGTGCCCCGTGCAGGCTCGAGCCCAAACGCCTAGTGACCACCATGTCCGAAAATGCGCACGGCACCACAACGAGTGCGCAGTCGCGACAAACACCCGCCACGGACAACCAGATTCTGCGACCCTGCGCAGTCGAGATGCACTTCGAGGATTTCGAGAGGCATTGAATGTACTGTAAATAGCAGCGAATTAGCCGGACGCCCCGTGCAACACCTTGATTAGTAAAAAGTGTAAGAACCCCTAGTGTGACCACACTGTTTGGGGAATATTATGTGTAATATAGGAATGATTATAAAATCCATCAAGAGTATTAATATAATATCTTTCAAGTCCTACCAGTAGTAAAAAGCGTCAGAGATGAAACAAAAGTGGTAAGTAAAAAAACAAGAATGAAATGCGTCAAAACCTGGCCTTCATATTATTGTTGGGGATATAATTCTATGTTTGTTCTCTATGGCACTATGGTTTCTTCTTGCCCTGCTCCATTAAGATTATTTAGAAGTGTGCCATCTTACAAGTACCTACCAACCAATGTCATCCTAATAAACAATTGAGCTCATCATTTTTCTTATTAACATGCTTATAAATAAAGATGAAAGAGAATACAGTTGATTGATGATAGAATTAGGAAAACTTATATACGTTAGTCAAAACTATTTCACCATGTTTGTCACCTATTTTTTCCTATATTCATGTCTTTGGTATTCTTTGGTGTTTTAATGTTCTTTCCCCCTCGTGCACTGCAGGTGAAGATTACATTTCCAACAACCAAGAAAAAGAACATAGAGAATGAAGAAACTAGTAGAAACCCTAGAGTTGTCTCTAAAATCTAATCTTAAGATTTGCCTGGTACCAAGAAACAAGAACCAAGATTGCACAGAAAGTCTTGGGTTTCCGATTTGGAAAGTGCAAAATCAGGACACTGCACCTGGACACCCAAACAGGTCGGAGGGTACTCCTCCGCTTCCTTGTCATCCCAGTAGTAGATGAAGACATCATAGTACTGGTCCACGACCTGGCGAAGCGCCCGAAAAGAAAGGCGTGCGGAAGGTTCCTGGCGAGCATCGAACGGTCACAGGTTCCTGTTGCTTTCGGGATTTCGAGTGGAGAGTGGTTGAGAACAGGGGCCCCCCCACTCAACATGTGGTATCTGTGGTGGGATCCTCCACGTTTGCGGCACCCGGAGACCCGTCGAGCGACGAGATGTGGGATCCGTCTTCGCGAACAGAGTGGCGTGGGATCCTCTTGGATAGTTGCCCCTCCGACTCACCAACATGGGAGTGGAAAATACGCAGCACTGGTAAAAGAAAGTAGCCTTCCAAGGGAGCATTGTCCAGTGGATTTCCCTTCTTCCAATACTTCCAAGATCTTCAAAGACTCACACTGGGCCGTTTTCAGGCAGTGCACATGGAATGACCACACATAGCCACGCTGCAGTGAGCCAAACAGGGTGTGGAACACCCTCCGAAACTGAAACAAGCTCCCAACTCCTCTGCTTGTACAGGGGAAATCCTCTTCAATATGCTTTGCACTAATACAGGGGACGTGGCTGCCCTTCAATGCACTAAAGAAGAAAGGCCTACAGAAAGAGACAACATGAATACCCCAGAACCAAAGGTATTGAGCGTGTTCACAACGGAGCCCATCGGCCATCCGAAATCGGACTGCAGCCGCCTTGATCTGGTGGGTCTTCCGGTACGTCCTCAGCAGCTGAAGACGTGATTGCTTTAGTCTTCATGGTTCTGTGAGAAGTGAAGGTGCTATGGTGTCAACAGACTTGGCAAGAGCGGAAACATCTTCTGCGAAGTTGGGCATCTTCGAGCACGACAGGCGGGAATAAAACGAGGATACTGGACTCGACTTGCTAGCCGCTAGCCCCTTGCTGGCCAAAGTGCGGCGCGATCATTGGATTAACTGCGAGTGCTCTTTTGCCGCTTTATGCCGAAAAGGAAAGAGACTCTTGTGGAGCACGTCAAGAAGATCGAGAGGCCGGGAGGAGTGTTCCGACCGAACGAAGATGCGCAGGATACAACAAGCGCTACAAGACGCATTCGAGACAAGCAATGCACGCATTGCAGATATAGTTTTGCCACACTGTGCGCCACAAACTACATGCAGCGCAGAGCTCCAAGAAGATCAAAAAGCCACTTCCCGTATTACAATGTGTACCACAAAGTGGTCCCCCAGAAGCTACTTCTCGCACGATGGCAGGGGGGCATGAGTTCCCCCGAACGGGTTCGCCCTGGTGGCCGAGGTGTCGCGCAGGAAACGAAAAAACGGCACCCTGGGTAGGGGGGAGATGCGGGTTGGACTACAGTAAGTGGAGCTGCATGGAGCTGCTATGCCTCGGGTGTGCCAAGGTAGAGGTGAACGTTGATGCCCGTGGCCTCTACCTGATTGCAGTCTCTCGTCGAGTGATCGGACGAGGAGCGAGAAGGGGCGAGGCCAGGGGCCTGCTTGTGATCGAGGAAGCAAGTCAGGATGACGAAGAACAAGAAGAAGCAGAAAAATGGGATAGCTATGGATAGCTAGGAAGACACTCGAGCCCAACAGACCCCGCTGGACAACCACAGTTCTGCTGGCTATGAGGACTCAAGGCGGAGGGCTCTTGCGCATGCACATATAGCTGAGCATGTGGAGCTGCTTTTGGGAGCTTGTCACTCAGTACTGGACAGTGCAGCGGACCCTGATGGCGTACCCAAAAAATACTCCGTGGGTTTCGGACAAATGGTTTTCCACCTTTGCTTGGGATGGGGACGGTCCCACAACTAACTACAGTTTCTTCGTTCGTTTTCGTTGCAGCCACAAAACCATACAAAACCGACCACTCGCTACGCCAGTTTCCGCCGAAGCCGAGAAATCCACGAACTCGTTGGGGGAGGAACGAAGCTGAAGACGAGACTAAGAGTGATAGGCCTGGCATAATAAGCAAGATTGCCCAAAAAACTATACACATCAGAATTGCGAGATGAAAACGTGTGCCTGATCTCCACGGTGGCAACGCTCCAAAACTACGGGCCTTGAATCAAACCCTCGCTCGATCAGAAAACATCACACGCAGGGCCGCTTCAAGATGCTCACGCGTTCTATATCGCAATTGGAAAACATGCACGACGCTACGTGGCACCATGTGTACTCCCCGAGAACGGTGCAGCCTCAATTGAGTGATCAAAATTCATAAAGCATCGCCATCAATCAGACTTGCCGAGATGATTGCTAGGCTCCTGACCGTAAGCTGTGGCTGGATCGTGGAGCCCTGTGATGTTGGATCGAAGGCGAACCTTCCGCAGCCAGACCGGCCAAAGAAGCATGAGACGTCGTCTTGAGAAGCAAGGCTGCCCTGGAAGCCGTCCGCAGCTCCGCGGAAAAGCAGCTCCGCCGTCCACTTCGAGGGCACACCGAAGTGCCCTGCGGAGGTCTACGCAAACGGTCCGTTCCAGCGGGTCGCTGGCGAGGTCGACCTCGTGCACCGTGGTCGAACGACCGTTCGACCCATGCACCATTCGGTCCATCCGAAGCGCAGTCGCAGCTTCGAAGCGCGGTCGATGCACAGTCGATGCGGTCGATGCCAAAGTGTGCAGCCGTCGGACATCCTGCATGTTGGTCGGCCGCTGTGCGGAATGGCAGCGTGCGGTCGCATGGCCAGCAATGGCTGTGGGTCCAAAACCGGTCCGAACCCCAAATACCGGCCCGGTGGACCTCTTTGGCGGTCTATTCTGTTCAGAACAGCCGTGGTCCACCAGAGCCCCCCCCGGTTTTGACTGCCAATTAGAACATGGGATGTCCGACACAAGCTGGACAAACGCCAGGGAGTGCCGAAGCCAACCGGACTGCCACTCAAGTCGCCGGCGACGTATGCTGCATGCGGCACCTTCAAATACGGCGGCGTCTAAAAGAGACCAGGCAGAACTTTTTGCAGTTTCACGGTGTCAATGGTGCCTTATAAGTTTCTCAAACAAAATAAACGAGGTTTTCGCTGGAGACGTGCTGCCGAACCTCTCGCGAGTCAGTGTCCCACGCATCTCTCCCCTCACATGAAGCAAGAAACTGAACCATATGCAGGTGGAGTTTGCCTGTTTGAGGAAGCAGTGCCACGTTCCACACTCACCGCCACGTTCCACCTGCCGCACCGTCGACCAGTCTCCGGTGACCGGTTCGCCCGGGACCCCGAGCTTCCGCCCATCGTTGCTGCCCACCTCCACCTGAGCGGCGGCTACCCCGGGCGCGCCACCGCCGCTACCGGCGAACGCGGAGCGCCGTTGGATTGCCGGGAAAAGAACAGAAGGTATGTGGATTAGAACCAGAACGAGTTCGTGTCCAGAGAAGATTCTAAAAATTGGCACAAAGACATGTATAGGTGTCGGTGTAGGTGTTCGAAGGTGACTTGTTATGATAATGGCTGTTGGGTTGGGACCCACAACCAATAAATACACCATCACACACATGTCACATATTCCACAAGTAACATCAAATAACCCATTACAACTTGCTCAATAGCCTGCCTTATGTCACTTCTTTGACTGAGTGTGTCTCCAATCGGGAGCACTTCATGCCAATCACGCCAAGCAGGTCCAACGCCAAACTGAACCCCAAACGAGGCTTTAACAAGTGCCCTCTGAACCCTTGAAATCCTGCATCTACCAAACGCCCATGTGTTGCTTCGTTCGGCCCTTTCTCCCGGAGCGGCAAAAAACGACCAAAACGGTCGACCGATGGTCTGGTGCGGTCACGGCGGTCCGCCCTTCGGAGACCCCGAAGGTTCGGAGATGCCAAACTGAAAGCGGTTGAGCTAAACCCTGCAGGCCCAAACCGTCTCGCTGAGCCTCCAGGCATATTCTCCCGCCTGAAGGCGTCGAGAAAACGCCCCGGAACGAACGTAGGGCGGCCTTGGACTGCCAAAAAACCAGCCGAGTTCTATGCAGTTGGCGCTTCTTAGCATCCAACTCGACAAATCTATTTATGCCCATTGACGACGAACTGGGATCTCTGCCTATCTTGTCAAATGGTACAGTGGATGGGAATGAGAGTCCAAACGAGCTTTGTTCCGTGACTTGGAAAATGGGGCGACCGTAAAGGTGTGGGACAGTTTCAGGTGGCCAACCCTGCAGCACCTACCCCCCTGATACCCATCCGATCAAGGCCGTGGCCAGCGTGCGCAGGGTCTTGTCCTCCCCTGTGCAAGACACCACCACGGTCTCCACCTGTCAGCGGCAGGGAGGCCAGTCCTCGGACGGTTTGGGCCATCAAGCAAGCATTCACCAACCAAACAACGACCCAGCACCACCTGGAATTCTGGAATTCTACCCTCTCCCCAGAAAGCCGCAAGAGAGGTTTTGGTTCAGCCCTGTTTCGCCCATCCATGCCTTTCCCAAATGTACTACGTATCCAGGCTCCTAGTTCAGGTCTCCAAAAACCCTCCCAAGAGCCACCCAGCCTGGGAAGCCATGGTGACAGCCGCTTCTACCCGCGCTCAGCGGTGGCCGGGTTCTACGAGGCCGACTGGTACCGGGCGACCAAAAGCGGTGAAGGACCTCCGACGTGGTGAGTTTTGGAGGGAAACGGTGCAAAAATCACCCGGCAAGTCGGCATGGTCATGCCCTTTTCAATGGAATTCAGCGTGAAGTTCCCCCTTTTTTTTATCAACCGCCCGACTAAAAGCGGTGTTTCGGGTTTGGTGCGGCAGCTTTAAGGAGGCTGATGGGTTGGTTGCGCCCCATGAAGACCCTGCCTGCATGCTTCTGCTTTCTGGGGTCGCAGCAGTCTGCCTTAAAGCTTTTGAATCGAGCCAATTATGCGTAGCGAAGTCAAAAGCGAGAAGCCGTGCTCATCCAGCTGAAAAAAAAGGAAAACGTCTTGCAGCCACCTTCTGACTGACGTGACTCCTAAAAGAAGGGTGACTGGTCGTTCTGCTTCCAAAGGACCCCGAAAGGACCTGGACTTGTCCAAGTACCTAACATGTGCTAATCAGGTTCGCGGAAGGGCGGATCTGCAACACCTACGGCGGTGGCGTTGCGGTTTCGAACCACTTCTTGAAACCTGGCAGCGTTGCGTTACGGGTGCTCCGCATGCAGGTTTCATGCTCGGTTTCAAGCAGAAACAATGAAGAACAGATCCGTCATAGCATAGCCCTAAACAACGGATATTAAGGGCATACCGTTCATGTTCCCTAGGCCCTAAATCCGATGTCCAAACCACAGTGTTTGTGATGGATCGGTCACCCCGAAAAACGTTTTCTTGCGATGGCTGGCTCAGGGGCGGAGACGGTTCAGGTAGGCTGGGAGGAGGTATCGACGTATGGCTAGCCATACTTCTTCGAGTACATTTGGCTTCTCCATTAAGTACATCCCCCGCAGAGTGAAACACAAGATTTGGCATCCATCCAGAGAAATTCAAGTGAGTCATGTGCGCCCAGTCAGATGATGTTGGTTCAATGTCTTGGGGGCGGTAGTTGCCTAAATTTGTTGCCCACAAAATGTGGAACTAATGGACAAATGACCACAGGTTTCACGGTGGATCCAATCCTGTCCTTGGATGTCATGTGCTTAGATCCAACGTGATCCAACCACTTCTCCTTCAGATACCCTTGGATGGCATCCATACACTCCGATGCACCCTTTCTATCCATTCCGATACGGAAAGATTTCGATTGAACCCCCACCACCAAGATTGCTCTTTCACGTCGACGTGGCGTCTTGCTGCTCAACGTGGCATCGCGCGCGTCAACGTGTCGTTCATCGCCATGTCCAGTGAACAAGAACAACGGCCAAGTCGCAGGGCCACAGTTTTTCGATTTCCTGAGGCCTTTGTTTCTTACGAGCCAGAATTCCCTACCAGGAGCAAGAACGCTACTAGGGGCTCCTGGCCTTACTACTAACAAGTACTAGGAGCAAGGACGCTAGGGGTCTGGGTCAAAACCGAGTTGCCTTGGTTGACCTGTTCGAAAATGAACAGAATGGACGACCTGACTAGTCGGTCAACCCACCCTGGTGAAAGGGTAGGGGATCCGGCTACAATGCTTTGGGTTTTGGTCCCATGGGTCTGCTGGAGATCCCAAGCTCCCATCCAGTAGGAGCTGGGGCGGAACCGGCGTCCAGCCACCAGGTGACCCAGACAGGATGTCTGGGACAATTCCAGCGCTGATGAGATCCAACAAGATCCAACCATTGCATTCATTGCCCAACTAAACCTTTCTTTGCTGCCAGGTGCACATTGGACCCGGTGGATCTCTAATTACGTACACCGTACACCTTACGAGATTCGAAACCGAAACAAACATGGTGAAACTGCAGAGCTTCAAACGAAACGTGTCCAAAGCACACCCGCCAAATGCATCCTGCAGACCAGTTCTACGCATGAACAAGCCAAACGACTGGCCTGCAGATGTGAATAGATGTGACACGGTGCAACCTTCTTCTCAGTGGAAAGCGGGTCCTAGGTGCTTCACGATAGAACAGAGTGTTCGCGCATGGAAGCGCTGAAGCATTTGGTGACCCAGTGAACCTCCAGCACTGCATGTGTTCTTCACCAACGCGGAGTTTCTGCACGAAACTGCCGCCATCGGGGTGTGGAAGCTGAGGATTTCCCGAGCACCCAAGGTGGTCGACCAGTTCCTACATTGATCATTGGGCGATGAGTCCACCAAACATATGCCGCGCGCGAACCGCCTGGCCGCATGGTGGACGTGTCATTTTGCCACGGTCTTTGAACGGGCCTCTCTTCGCTACATGGCAACTAACTTCGATACAAGGAATTTGATTGATTCATCTTGGATTAATCACCATCTTGTAGGATCTACCGGCTTACAGTCAGCAGCATGCTTGGTGAACCCAGGTTTGCTCCACAATGTGTTTGCAAAAACACCTCGAAACAGTGGGAACTGAACTGCCGAGTCTTGGCGGATCCTTCGGGCTGGCTCTTACACCAAACTCATGTCCGAAACCTCAATGGTGGTGCTTTGTACAAATAATCTGGTCATGCATGGTGCGCTGGCCACCGCTTTGATCATCAGTGCTTTAGTTGATCTGTTCCTTCCGGGAAGGGGAGAGGGTAGCTATATTCAACTTATATGTTCGATATTTTTTTCGGCAAAGTCCTTTGCACAAAGCAAGAATCATTCCCACAGGACAGTGGGGATTCGTGGGGACAGTCGGAACATTCAGGAACATCGATCAGGTCGATCAGCACACAGAACGCTGTAAAAAGGGGACCCAGAGTGTTCCGCTGTCAGGATCAGCTTCCCGAACGGTATTTGGGGTGTAAAAAGGTCCTTGTCAGTGAACGGTATGGCAGTCGCTTTTGACCGACCGCAACACATCAGACTATTCCAGAAGAGAGAAGCCGATCCCTTGGGTCGGCTTGACCAATGACCAAGGTCTCAGTGGATGATGATGCTTCTGTTCAAAGAGTGAGATTCTATGATGTTCCGACGGTTACAGGTTACAACGACAAACCCAATGTGTATGGTCCAACTGGTGGAAGGATGGTGATGAAACACACCGGAACGGGAACGGTGCCAGAATTCGTGACCAGAAGCCCTACATGGAGCGCTCACCGGCCACCCGGTACCAGGTACCCCTCGGACTAAAACGCACCATTACACCACCATGTTCCTTGTCACCCTCTGGGTTTCCCTCAAGATTAGGAGATTGACATGAAAAAACACCAAGAGAAAAGTCTCGTCCGCATCCTCGTCCGAGTCTGGATTGTCAGAACCGAGTTTTGATCCTTGAACGTCGGGAACTCACAACCCCTAAGATGTGATCCTGATCATCGTAGAGCATCACTTGCCATGATCTCTCTCAATGACTGCTCATCGTAGGCCTGGCGCGGCGAGTGGTGTTTCTCACTCTGGACTCGGAGACACCGGCACGGGGGCCAAGCTGCACAAACGAGTTGCAGTTGTTTGAAGTCCATCTGTCAGTGGACTAAGACGTCCAAAGACTCCTACATCCGGTTGTGCCACCAAGGAGTCAATGAATCTCATCCGGTTGCAACTGGGTCCTTTCCATTTTGGAACTAGGTCTTTGCTTCTTGTGCTTTTGTTTGCCCATGTTTGCCCTCTCATATCCACTCACTGCCCCACCGATACTCATTGATTTTCCGCGGCCCCATTCTCACGGTTTTGTTTGAAACATCGCACGATCTGGTGTCGCGCGCTCAATTTCCAGAAGTCTCCGTCTCCCACTCCAGCAAGAACCTGGGATCACCCAGTCAGGTTGAACAGTACAGCAAGAGTTTTAAGTTCAATTCAACAAGTCTCAAGATGTTCAGTGGTCCACTCCAATTCTAGCTAAGTTGCTTCGCGCGTGCATCTCGACCAGCTGCTGCGCTCTCCTCCTTGCCCAGCCCTTCTTTCTTGGCTTTCAATCAGGCTGCACAGTAGACCTAACACAGTTTTCCAATGAACAGGTGGCACGAGAGGGCAAAGACACACATATGACTTTCAATACTTTCAGCCAAGATGCACAGTGAGCCTTCTTTTCAACTTCCGTCTTCTGGCGCTTCGTAGCACGCTGCGCAGAGGGCTTTTTCATTGGGCTTTGCTTTCCCTTTGCCTTCACTTTGCCCTTAGCTGCTTTTTTGGTGGTTTGGGCTTGGCGGATTGTGATTTGGCTGCTGCAGCCTTCGCCCGGCCCTTCGCACATGGCTTGGGCTTTGGTCGAGCTCTGAGAACTGCCTTGGATTCCCAAAGCACTGTCACAAACAATGTTACTTTCATGACATCATGATGCATCATGTCTCCAATACAACCCATGCCCATGACAGTCAAGAGGCAGCGGGTGGATCAGCTTGCCCCAGGCCGTACAGAAAGAACCAATTGGCAAAGAACTCCTTTTAGTAATCTTGAAAGTATGATTTGAATTATGGAACTCCCTTTAATTGCCGGGTTCTTTCCAGCCTCCAAATTCGTGGGTGATGACGATTGAACATCCTTGCTGTCCACTTCCACACATGCCTGACATGCAAAAGTTGCAAACGGTTGCAAGTTCTTTTGAGCTGCGCCATGTACTGATGTGCCTCATCACCATCAAGGCAAGCCCCGAGTTCGTCGCTGCCATTCATACGTCGCAGACGGCCAAGATCCTTTGTTGTTCAATGATTTTCAAGGCCATGTAGATACAGGTCTGATTGGTTTCAGTGTGATGTTCCGTTGCCAAAACTAAACAAATTGCAGTTGAATATCCGCTCGAGGCTTTGATTCAGCGCTGCTAGACAAACCTAGTTGATTGTCCGGGCCGAACGAGTAGTCCTCTTCAGTTTGCACCTCAAGGCTTTCAGGTGAAGCAGGTGGATCAGGTTCAGTATAGGCTGAATCACCAGGACCAGATTCGGGAAGCTCTTGGGATTGATGCCTCAGAAAGACATTCAAAAGACAAACATCGGAACAGCATGGAACAGCTTGTTTTTGTTTTATCACCGAGTTTCTGCAAGGGTTCCTTGAGATCAACATCCATCATACCCATAGGAGCATCCGGTGTCCTCAGCATAGCCTCCTGCTTGTCTTCTGTCCAGCCGAAATTCTCATCACTAGCCCAACCATCAGTCAAAGGACCAAATAAATCTTCCATTGTCACGCCATCCATATCCTGCCAACTGAAGAAATTGAAGCATTAAATGTTTTTTCCAGCTGTCATCCAGTCCCATTCAAGGAAGCATGGTTTACAATACCAGCCTTATTAAGGATTTCGTGTTGTTGGTCCCCAATCACTGTTTTGGACATCTATACACTATAAATATTTCATAAATATCTCGGGTTCATAAAATACAATTATGCTTATGGTCAAGAAAACCAGTTGGGAGGAAGATGTTGCCAGTATGTTGGTATGTGTCTACCACTAGCCTTGTAATCGTCCGCTGGTGGCGGATTGATCTCCTGGTCAGCCGGCACCTCATAGGAAAAGGTCGTTGTCGGGCCACCAGTCTCCTGAACAGAGTGCGGTAATAATTCTGACCAGGCGAAAGTCAAGTCATCAAATTCTACGAGCAGTTCACCTTCCGGTAACATCAACAACATCAAAGCAAAGCCAGCCTGCAGGTCACCTGAAGCTTTTCCACTGGCCGTACCCTTCTTTTTGGCTTTGTCCTTGTCAGTTTCATGCTTCGAAGCTGTTCTCTCTGTTCGTTCAATCTGTAACCTCCAAATTGTGTTCTACCAAGTTTCCTGTTCATCGGCCATTTTGTTCAGCTCCTCAATCTCCCTGTCAAGCAACATGGTTTGTCAAAACTAAGTGCAAGTAGGTTGCATAGTTCCAATTCGAGACATTAGTTTTTTCAAGTAAGTGGTCCAGCCTCAGAAGTTCTGCCTGAATCTCTGGAGTCATCTCTCTTTGGGTCTCTTGAGATGCATGGTGTTCAGGTTCACCCTCTTCGTATCCATCACCGCCATGAGCGTTCTCAATATTCTTGATCATGTGCGAGAATGGCAAGTCGTCCTGTCAGTATGTAGTTTTTGATGGTTTAGCTCAACAATGAGTGGATGATGGTGAGTCAGATTGAGAATGTCCTTCTTCCTGGCTGGCCTTTTCTTCGCGTCCCCTTTCCTACACACTAGGGCATTCATTGAATGTGCTTTGGAAGGCACAAAAAGTTTGACGTAGTTTGACCATCTGAAACCAGCCTTGTGGAAGCAGGTCTTTTCTTCACGGGTTCATCCTTCTTCCCACCACCCAGCAGTTCATCCATGCCATCAAGACCAAAACCATAGTCATTGTCATCCTCATCTTCATCGTCTTCACCACCCAGTGGTTCATGGTCTGGGTCGTGTGGTGGTTCATCCTCCTCCTCCCTCTTGTCATGTTTTTTCTTTTCCTGTTTGTTTTGAGTCTTGCTGCGTCCTTTTGCTGTTGGTTTTGGTTTTGGTTTCACTTTCTCTTCGTTGGGTGATGACTCAGAAGAATTGCTGACCCTGGGCGGGAGCGCGTGGGCCGACCCTGAAGGTGTAGCTGAAGCACCTAAGATGTTTCATTCTGATGCTCTGAGTTATTACGACACCTAGACATCACAATAATAGAGCGAACCGAGGCAAGTTGCTTCCACCTGAAGCAGCCTTTGCTGCAGGCACAATCGATGCAGGAGGTGGCCGTGACTTTGGCTGCGATGGAAGTGCCCGGGCCCTGGGCTGCAAGCACCCTGCCCAAGTTGAAAGCCTCAAGGGAAAGGGCTATCAAGAAACCATCGAAAAGACTGTCAAGGTACTGGTGCTCTGAAAGTAGCTTTTGGAGTGACAACTTCGATATCACTGTCTGACATCTCAGTGAAAATGGACCCAGCACTAGGAACCCCAAAAATTGCTGAACCCACTCTGCGGCGGTGAAGATATTCACCTTGACTGCATGATGGTGCCAAGATGCTGTTTGTGCACACAGATTTGTGCACAACATACTGATCACATTTGACTATGCACACCACAATCTGTTTTGTCAGCCAGGTGGTGGTCCTCTTAAAAAGGTTGCTGGACACATCCAAGCATCTATATGCGTGTGTCAAAAAAAGGAGAGTCCCTTCACTCTCTCTTCCACACGATCCCAATGGGTGGCGCTCACTCGCAAGCCCAGGAAACATACTGGTTGGTTTAACAAACACATGTATATACTGTTTGATCGTTTTGTCTCTGTTTAGCTAGGCTGCACTTTGAAGATACAGTTGGACTCTGTGTGGTTTGGGCACCAGGTGAGCCTCATCCTCCCTCAAAACCCACGCAACTGCCATCACCCGAGCCGGCTACATCAGGCGCACATTGGCCTGCTCAACTGAAAGGCTGCCAGCAAGGCAGCAGATGGGCCGGATTGGTGTCAAGGTCTTGCTCCCGTCTGAAGAGTCAAGCCTTCAAGATGTTGAGGCACAAGTTCACAACCAGTTCAAACAGGTAAACACAAATCACAGTTGCACATTAGACGTGTGGAAGCACATGCGACATAAACACAGGGCCTCATCCGCCAGCCAATGACACAATGTTTTGCAGCTAGACGCACCACAGCTATCAAATTGTTTCTAATTGCTATTGTTCCTAATTGCTACTCAGAGCGCACGCAATCTTCTGAGGCGAAGTTGCGGAGAGGGCGGCGCAAATTGCAGGCATGATGGCACGGAGAGCCATAGCATTGCCACCAATCTCATGCTGGTCCTTTGGGAACAGCACGCTCAATCATTTGCGCCTGAAGTAAAAAGAAAACTAAAGTATAGTATAGCCAGTCTTGCTTCAAAGTTTCCCGGTTTGTCAGCATGGAGGTGTCACAGCGATGAACTGGAATGCCCATCAGAAGCAGCACCTCCTTTCCCACCAAGTAGCGCCCAGCACGAGTAGATAGGACACTGGGCCTTCAAATCATTGACATATAGGAGATTCAAAAAATGCTTGCTTTCATACTTCAATCATTCTGGTTCAGGCCCGGTACGTAAGGCACATGAGTGGCTCCGAGTCTCCCAATCATTGCAGCTGCGCTGGGTCAACGTATTGCAAAGGCGCCACGGGCAGCCTTGATGCCCACCTGTTTGAGTGGAGGTGTTCATGAGGTAGTCACACCAAAGGTTCCCAAAACAGTTCAGACACCACATTGTATTCTCAAATTGTTCTCCTTTGCCCACTTGCGATGTCTTTGGAACCATTTGCTCTTTCGATTGACTTTCCGACAAGTTCAAAGATAGGCGATATTCAGTTAGTGACTACACTTCAACCGTTATATGCAAGATTGCTGATATTGCCGCGCAGGCGCCGGGCTTCTTGGTCACGCTGAACCTCTCGGTGAGAGCTGGGAAGTAGCAATCCAAGCCTGAGTATGGGTTGCCATCACGTGAGTTCCACCCAAATGTGTTGGTAGCCCTTTCCATTCCATGCAGCTGTGGGGCCAAGACATCTTTGCCGGGGTGTGCATGTTCTTCAACTTTTTTGCAAGGAAATCACCCAGTGGTTGAGACAATGCCTCGTCATTCATCATATCCTTCTTGATAAGGAATAAGAAAATCCGCCTCCTGCTGATGGGGGGCAATCGGGTCCTTGGCATCAGGCAATCCCCACATCCCCACCAAGGCATTAAACATTTTGATTCAATCTGGAGTGCTGAATCTGGAAGGTGGCGGATTGATCACCACCCCCTGGATCACATACCTGAGCATGTGCACATTGTGCATGTCACATCATGTCATCATGGATGCTATGCTCATTCAGGGCTAAGGGACTCTGGCAAAATTATTTTCCATGAAGTCGATGCATTTGTCGGCAACCCTTGCAAATCCCATCACGTTCTCCAGGAGCGCAACCTTGGAAGCTAATGGAAGTAAGTTCATTCAATCTTCACTTCTACAATCAATCATTGTCAAGTGCATTCTAGCAACAACCGGCTGTATAGTTTTGATGTTGCTGACTGTTGTGAAAAATTGGCGAGCATGTTGGTCCTCTAGAACTCGTGAGTTCCAGTGCAACAGACTGAATGGCGTGCAAGGGAATCCAGCCGTGTACAGGAGCAACTGCAAAGACTCAAAACGCTGGCTTGGATGCGAGTAGTATCGAGTAGTCGTGTAAAATTCTGAACCAAAACCCAATGCCTGTCCATGTAGCCATTCCACCTTTTTCTTGAAGATGTCATTGCATAGCCTCATGTGCGAAGCCAACTTGGCAGAAATTGTATGATAGGTGGTTTTCATGCTTTGCCAAGGAACTGCCGGCATTGGAAGTTCTCCTGCAGGAAGCTGTAGGGTGCAGGTTTTATCTCACTGGCTGACCTGGCAGTGTGCATTTGGTCAACACATGCCACTCCAAAGTAAGGTGTTTAAGTTTACTCAGCATTGGACAAATAATCCACAAAGTTCCTGCTTCTCCCCGCAGCTTCACATAGCATTTGCAAGGCCATCAATGGCGTTTCAGCTCCACTGCCTAAAGAGGCAAAAGATGGCGAGCAAAAACAGAAGAGCTACCCATTCACCCACCCAAAGATATGATGGCAAGATGCAATCTGATGCAACGGTGAATTTGGTGGTCAGTCCATCAAACCACCATTGCAAACCGGAGGCCCTCAAAAACAGATCTCCAATCTCCAGGTACTCCATGACACCAGGATCCAAGGGCACACTCTCATCTGACCCTGTCGATGTTCAGATTCTGACTCTGACCACCGCGGCCGCTTCATCGCCCCTGTGGTTTCTTTGAGCCACAATCTTGGGACATGACTCCAAGACCTAGTTCACAACTGGACAAGACCTGGTTGGAAGTGGACTGGATTAATGGCAAAAGTAGGAATCTGAAACAAAACAATAGCTACAGTTGTTCGATACTTTCCTGATGGCTATACATAGGCCTTTGAATGTTTCGCAGCTTCAGCTTGCTTGTCTATGCTAAGAACGTGGCCCCACAACACACACAACTCCACCTGGAAGTTTCTATGTTTGGGGCCCAGGGGGCCCTCGCGACGACTGAAAAACGGCGGGGTGGAATCAGAAGTTCACCGCCGGGATCTGGAACCCAAGAGACGGTCAAACTCTGAATTCTGTGACCAACGCATCGGGAGTCCTCCGCTGGCGCCGAGATGGGAAACCATGGAAGCTGGCGCGCCAAGCGCGCAAAAAGCGAGGGTTGGAAGTGGGTAACACACGCTGGTGACAAGTGGATGATCGAGAAGTGGACGGATATATGAGTGGATGAGCCCTAAGAACCTACTCCCGAAATAAGGGGAAAAAAAAACTTGCCAAAGAGCATCACCACTCTGGGGAACCCCTAACTGAACAGATCGCCCAACCGGTCCATCCAACTGAATTCGGAACACGTTGTTCCCAAGCCCAACTGAGCCATGTTCATCTAAGACCTCCTGGTGGTGGTGGGAGCGGTGGCACCTTCGCCCAGCCGCGCGCAGCGAGGCTCCGCTCATCCACGCCGAAGGGTGCGAGCAACGTTCGGCTCGACCCACGGCTCGACCCCAAGACCTTCTCCCAGATTTGATCGCCTGCTGCGTCTCCCGGAGCTCTTGCTGCTTGTCCATCCGCTGCTCTTGAGCTTTAGCCATCTCTGGGCTAACTTGCCCAAGACCTCGGGCAACAACAGAAGTGCCAAGGGTGAAGACTAGTAGCGGCTAGAAGATGACCCATCGGATTGCGCAAAGCCCGGCCTCACAACAAAACATATGTTTTCCTTCGTTCGGAGGCCAAGTGACCCCACTCCGATTCGGGCGCACGTCGAAGCCAGGAATCTCAACTAGATAGCATTTACACCCAAAACCAAGAAGGATAACAGGCTGACAGGCCAATTTGATGCGGAAGCACTCCTGCACGAGGCATGGGAACAGCAACAGGGAAGAGGTGTCCAAGGTTCACCTTGCTGCCCATGCCCCCACAATTTGTGCGCTAGTTACACAAAGCACATGTTCATTTCATTCGCATCCGTTCGAAAGCCGATTGGCTTATGGAGTTCAGCGGCCGCAGCCAAAAGCTAAATTACGTCTTGGCACATGCGGTTCTGTCTCGAACAGCTTCAAGCCTTGTGCTGGATCAGTCCTGCTCGCGTGTGCCTCCTTGACGAAAGCAAGGCCAGCTGTCAAGGCAGTCAAGCTGTGGATATGGCCAACAACCACGTCAACAAGTAGGGGGGGGTACCCGACATCTTCTGCAAAGGTTGGAAAAACATCTCGAATGACGAAGTTCCACGCCAATCAACACAAGTTATAAGTTCAATAAATTCCCCCAATTCCACGGAATCTACAAATCTCAGCAGCCCCTAATTTACCCTTGAGTCCGCAATTGAAAGCATTGAAACTGACCCAAGCCGTGGTTGGAATAACGCAACACCTTTGAAACCAACCACAAGTTCATGTCTCAAGAAGTGGCATCGTTCACTCTTTTTCTTGGCCTATTGGTGTCCCTCAAAAGGGTTATTGCCAAATATTGCAAGAATCCTCGGATGATCGGAAGCCCCCGAGGTTGCAGCATACTTGACCGGCGCTAAAAAATAGGGGAATTACCATCCAAACCAAGAGTGATGACATGAAGAAAGTAGTCACAATATGTATACGCCTGGGTTCTATGTTGTTTGGCCTACAGGTAGTTCGGAATTTACATCCAGTTTCCAACCTGCGGTCCAATTCCATTAAGTCTTGGCCTGGCCCCCGGACCGCTAGGAGCGAAGGGCTTCTGCACGGAGCGAGCTGTGGACGAACGAAGGGGCTTTAGGGGGTCTCCTTCTTGAGCCGTTGATGTTCAAGCCGTCTGAGACGTCTGAGGGCTGTGCCGCTCGGAGCAGGCAACAAATTGAAAAGGAAAGGAACCTGGACCATCCAAATGGGCCCAAGCCATTGGGGTAGTCCATTGGACACCCATTGGATGGTCCTGGATGGTTTGGATACGGGTCTACCATTGCGATTTCGCAGAAGCCTCTCAAGAGTTGAGACAGTGGAAAACCCTTGCTGGAAACATCCCATTTGTTTCAATCCTTGAAGATTGTGGTCGTTGAACGCTCTTACCCACAGCAAAAATCATCAAACATCGACTACCCTGGGTGACTGTGCACGTTGGCAAGAAAGATGTTTGTAGAACTGCTCTGGTTAAACTATGGTTCTCGTGGATTTGCCGAAGGAACCAGAAAAACCATGTTTTAAACAATCCGAGGGCACACGGCTAGACACACACAGCTGCCTGGGTCATGGCATTCTCATCCTCGATGTCCAAGCGCAAGCGCAAGGTCTCGCCGGAAGGCAATTTCTTCCTCCAAGCACCACTGACTAGTGCGACTGAAGGAAGAAATGAGGCTGGCTGAAGTCTCCACTACAGATACCTTGTTTCCTTGCTCAGTCAGAAAAAGTCGGGTCTCTAGTGACACTCCCACTGGCTGATGGTTTTTTTGGACAAACTCATCAGATCGGTGCTCAGTCCTGATTGCATACTGGATCACCTGGGTGCAATACTTCATGTAGTGCCATTTCGCAAAGTACACCTGCCACCCAGATGTCGGGGCCATGAAACCGACGCGAAGGCGACGCAAAAGGAGTTGGGGAGGCGACGAATGTGATCATCATCAACTGACCACTCTTTCCAGGCCAAGAAGAGTCAAGGATGGGGGAAAGAAAGGTGGTGCCAAGTGAGAGTAGACGGTCATGCTTCAGGAGACCCTTCGCATGAGGGGTGAAGCGAAGTGACAAATTGGACCCCAATTGATATACATAGTTCCAATCCCGTGTCTTTTCGTGACCTGTCTGTCTCTGGGGGCTATGCACTCTCCCTAACCCAGTAGTCTTCCTTAGATCGAGTCAAGAGCTCAATGTCCCGATCCTCCCGAGCGGGAAAAACAAAATAACGCCTGGTTCTGCCGGTTGATGACCCGAGTGTCTGTGGGAAACTCTCGTCCTCAGTGGCAGAAAAAAGGGCCGAAGAACGAAGCATCGAATCATATCGAATCGAACCACATCTCTTCAGAGAATTCTGAAAAGGTGCGGGATGATGAAGGAATCCACCAAATAAACCACTCAAGCCGTGGTGGAAGGGTGCTGGTGTTCCAAAACATCTAGAAACGAGCTGTTGAAGAGCCCATGGCCCATTTTGATGGATGCTCGACGAAGAACATGGGTGGTTTTTGATATGTTGGACACCAGCACTTCAGCTTGTTCCCAAAAGAAGACGCCAACACCAGAGTTTGGTGCTCCCCCCCTCTCTGGACATGCAAACTTCGTCCTTTTCTCGGTCTCCTTCGTAATCGTCATCCTTCGAACCCGCCGAGTTCACCGAGCAGCCAACGACCTCTCACCTTGCGCAGCGTTAGCGTCGATGGCTTCGAACCCACTCTTTTCGGCCTTGCCTTCGCCTTCGCCCCCCGACCAACTTCCACAGGGCTTCATGGGCTGCATGGCTCGTCAGCTCAAGAAGCTCACGGCTGGCTCGGTGTGTTGTATCGCGTCGACCCCAACGGGTTGGGAAGAAGTCCAACCGAAGCTCCTGCCTTCAGCACGACGGATGTGTCGGTTTGCTGTTACACCTCAAAGGACATGCAGGCCAAGCAGGAGAGGCTCCCACATCAAAGGGACAGCCAAGGTATCAGAAACAAGGGCATCAAGCAAAGGTTCTTCATTCGAGTGCAGGAAAAGAACACTGCAATGACTGCCAGCAACTTGGAGCTAACATGGAGTATTGATAACTTGTTCCATGCCCTGCAGGGTGGACAGCACTAGATGCGGAACGTAGACAAGCAAAGTCTTGCCTTCACCACGGAAATTGTCTCTGCGCATCTCTTTGCTACATGAATTTTGGAACATGCCGGCCAAAGTACGCACACCGCAGGAATTAGGCCAAGCTATTGAAAAAGAAAGGTTTGCTAAAAGTCAAATCCGTGTCAGACACAAAAAAAGATTCCCTCAGATTTTACAAGAGAGGAGATTGCAAGCCGGCTTCGACATGCGTTGGCGGAAAGTCACCTGAATGCCCATCTTGAAGAAATGATTGTTGCGATGGAACCTCACCAAAGGTTGAATCCAGAGCGCACTCAGAGACTGTTGCATCTTCACATTGTGTTCAAACTCAGCGCGAATTCTGCCCACTCGAATGTCAAGGCACTTGGCAAAACAATACGAATGTCGGGGCTGGATGACGCATCAATCACATTCAGGGTAGTAGGTGGTAGTATCAAACCAAACATGACACTTAATTGCACAGCTGTGAAGAGACTGAATGAACCACACCGAGTAGAACCTGCACTGCATACATTAGGTATACAATACGCGAATGCGAACATGATCACGCATCGCCAGTGGCATGGCCTTCCCTCCATGCACGTTCGGTCTTAATGCCGCCAGTGCGGCAACTTGTCCTTATATTAAGGCGCCCAGTGAGCACATTAGCCCATCGCCTCACTGTCATCCACTTGGCACAAAGTGGGTTGGCCTCAAACGCCTCCCACACCCGGCCAGCGGTGTGACAAGTGCTCATCAAATGACGAATGATCGCCGATTTGGCACCAAATAAGCACTTGCTGGGTAGGTTGCCGATCGTCTTGGGGAGAGTTGTAGCTGGGGGCCCCTGCAAAGAAGTAAAACATTCCTCTATATAGACTCTAGACTCGATGCACGGAAGTGCACACACCCCAGTTCTTCTCACCTCACCCCGAATCACCTTCAACCCCTCCAGAATTCTCCACCGAACATCACTAAACAACCAAACTCCACCTCACCTCGTCATCTCTACTTGCACACAACACCGCGAGCCGCGAGCCGCGAGCCGTCTGGGCGCGCCGGGCGCACGGTGCGCGCCGCTCGCTGGATGTCGCCGTTCTGCCGTGCCAAACGGCGGAACTTGTTGAACTGCCTCGCCGGGGCGGCGAAGTCACCGGCGAATTCAACGGGGAGAAAGGGGAGAAACGTGTGAGTTGGGTGCGCACAGACACGAAAGGCAATTTGTGGAGACCTGGGTGTGCGTGTGTGTGTGTGTGTCTGTGTGTGTCAACATCTGTTTCCAAGGTTCGTGCCCGGGAAGTATGCATGCAGCAGGTTTTTACTTGAAGAAAGGATGCTACTGATGTTTTCTGGCCCCGCTACTAGGAACAAAGAAAAGAAGCAGGGGGCCACAGACCTGCCACTGCCGCTGTGGCCAACGAAGACCGGCAGTGGCAGGTGTGAAAACGTACCTGCGAAACTGTTGACAACCTGTTCTCCTTTCGGTTTGCTTCTCATGGTGGTTCTCATGCTATCCC